TCATCACCTTGCATTGCGTTTTGCCGTCGGCTGTGACTGTCTACAGTGGTGGTCAAATTAATCGCCGCACTTGAAGTCCGAACAAAAACGCCTGTGATTGGCTAAATCCCTAAATCATGTGGTGCTCACACTGGCTTTATTGCCTCGCATCTTGAATATATTCTATAATTCAATAATACTTAGTTTCGAGAGGAAACGTAGCCGCGTGCCCAGTGGGTTGGTTGATGGATGGGGAAGGATAAGCTCCGGGTTCAATTCCCGCAGTGCCCTATTTTTGCAGTTTTGGTGTCGTGCGCAAGGATTCTCGCGAGTCGACTTTGACACGCTTGCAGAACTTGTTCTGCGAAATATGGTCTTTCCAGCGATCAAACGTTGCTACAAGGGCTCTCTTCGTGCAAAGCTTGAGGTCCACGCGAGCAGGCTTCAAGGCTAAGTGAAGGAATGTGTATTATATATATATGAACGTGTTCCGCGTTATCTTCATTATGACACAAAGACTTCGCATACGTAGCGCTACGCCTGAATGCGTGGGAGTTGGCTCCAGCACTTGGTCGTTGGGAGTGAGCTGCGCACGGAGAGATCCATCCCGTGGTGGACCCCACTCGCCGAGTCATAGCTCGCGCGAGGTCGTACGCAGGCTCCTGTACTCGGACCACCCGGCAGAGGAGTGCAAGCCGTCGGGTGTGTTTGGGAATGTGTATTAGTATCGTATAGTACGAGTATAGATCAAGAGCAGTGCCTACACTTCAGACTCGGCGGATCCTCGTTGGCTGTCTCGTTAGACTCCTCGGCAATGGCACTCTCAAGTTCTGCCTCTGCGACTGCTTGATCTTGGCGGAGCTGGGAGAGCTCTATGACGGCATCTTCCTCAGTGTCCTCCATGTCCCACTCAGATTCACTGATGTCGTCGACAATAAGCGTGTCATAGTCGGTGGCTGCAGCGTGCCACTCGCGCTCCAGTTCTGCCACGCAGGCCTCAAGCGATGCCATCGAAAACATGGTGCAGGTGCGGCGCAGAATGAATGGTGTCGCCAAATACACCCTCCACTTCTATATACCGCCAATAAATGATCTTCAACCTTGATATGTATTTATACAGGTCGAACCCATTTGTCTCAAGGCCAAGTGCGGCGATTAATTTGACCACCACTGTACGTCATGACTCGTCAGCTCAGTGCAGCAACATGGCAAGCACGCAACACAGTGCGTCGCGAGATCTCACTCGCTGGGGTCGTGAGCTTTAACGGCGCTGCTCGGAAAGACCCGCATTGTGGCGGCCGTGGCTCGCTCCTCTTCTTGACAGCGACACCCAAGCCACCTACCTTTTTACTACCGCGACAACGAACAACGATGCGACAGTCGAACCATGGCGCTCCAGTTAGCTCTGCGCCTGGCAGTGAGTCTTCGCAGTCCATCTCACACTTGTGAGCTGCAAGAGGCCGGTCGCACCCGCACATAAATCTCAACGTCGAAGAAGCGATAAGATTGTCATCCCGATTAGATGGTAGCGACCATATCCGGAAAGCTTATCCGGTCATGGCACCTTCAACCAGGGCAAAGTGGCGAAGGCAAGAAGAGGAGAAGATGACCCAGAGCAACCCCGGGGCAACCCATGCCAAAGACCAGAGCATGCAAGCGCTCAAGGGACGCGTGATTGTGGACGCAACTACCATTACTGACATCCACGCTGCGTTCAGCGCCATTGACGACAGTCTCAACGCTTCGCTCACTGAGTTGCAGGCGACGCCGAGCTACGGGACGTGGAGCGCGCGCAGGCCAACGCCGCCGCTGCGCCAAAGAACATCAAGCTCAACATCGGCGGCCGCATTTTCGAGACGAGCAAAAACAACGTGATCCAGCACCCGACCTCGTTCTTGTACGCGATGGTCACGAGCGACGATTGGCAGCCTCGTGCGCAGGACGGTAACCCTTGTCACTTTGCACCAGGGGTGCTAGCGATGTGCTGTAGGTGCATGCTTTATCGACGCCAACTTCAAGCACTTTGACCGTGTCATGACGTACCTCCGGTCGGGCAACATGTACCTTGACGGTCTCTGCGCGTCCGAGGTTAGCCAGCTCAATTTCACGCTGCGTACGCTGCTCATGGAGCATCTCGTGTCGAGCGCAGCGGGCTTTTCTGGGCCATCGTTATCCTCATCTGGCTCCTTTGGTGGTCAGCCACGGTACAGCGCCCCGGGTTCTGGCAGCAGCGGTATGTATGGCGCTCCACCCGCGACGAGCGTGGCACCGAACGCCTTTATTTTTGCACATCCTCCCAGCAAAATGGACTCTGGCGTCTGGTCTCCACAAACGAGTGCGTATCGGGTCGCCCCCACAAGTGGATTCTCGACATCTGCCAACCCCCCGCGTGCAGCCCCGCAGCATCCAGCGACCACCGGTGCACTTGATGCATGCAGCCTGCGACGTCTAAAACCGGGCGGTAGGACCATTGCCAGATCGAGACGCATTGCCTGCGCGTCTACAGGAGATTCAGCAAATGGAAGAGCGGCGCAAGCAGGCGATCCAAGAGATTTCAGACGCCTACACCAAGCTCGCCGCAGCGATCAAGGTCGACAAAACCAAGCTGCAAGCGGCGCGGAGCCATCGCCAATCGTTCCAGGCGGCGGTAACGGCGCTTGCTCTGGGTGCTGACAGAACAATCCGTCTCAACGCGGGTGGCACGATCTTTGAGAGATATCGCAGGACGCTGCTCGGGCAGCCTATACCTTGCTCTCCCAAAGCCACTGGCGTCCCCGTGAAGACGGTAGCCTCATATCTTCTACGACAATCGTGCAAAACTTATGGTAATCTTAGGCGCATATTTCATCGACCAAGATCCAACGTACTTTGAGTACGCGCTCGATGCGTTGCAAGGAACACTCAACACGAGTGGTCTCTCGCCCACCGCTATTCATCAAGTCTATCAACTTTTCAACTACCTACAGATGCAGACGTATTAGTTTATATATTTTGTCTCGTGAGACTCTCGCACCAGTGTGCACAGTATTGTCAGAGAAGAGCACGTAACAGAGCGGCGCATAGTTTCGGCATCTGCCGATTTTAAATCGATTTCCGAACTTAACCGGAGGGCGCACTTGACCGACCAGGCCAATTGCTTGGCTTTGAATCCCAATACACCTTTGCGACCATGAGCTTTAACTTTGGCGGCGCGGCCGGCGGCGCGACGGGCTTCTCCTTCGGCAACACGGCCTCGGCGGCTCCGGCGGCTGGTGCCACGACGGGCTTCTCCTTTGGCAGCACGGCGTCCGCGGCGCCGGCGGCCCCGTCGGCGGGCGCGACCACGGGCTTCAGCTTCGGCGCGGCCGCGACCCCAGCTGCAGCGTCGACGACGGCGCCTGCTGCGTCGACTGGCTTCACGTTTGGCGGCAGCGCACCCGCGGCGTCGGCGACGTCCGCTGCTCCAGCTACGACTGGCTTTGCCTTTGGGGCTTCGGCGACGCCCGCCGCCGCCAGCACGACGACGCCCTCGACAGGTTTTGCGTTTGGTGCCCCTGCGGCCCCCGCGGCTGCGTCCACGGAGAAGCCTGCACCTGGCTTCGCGTTTGGTGGTACGGCCCCGGCCTCGATGACCCCTGCCTCGACGGGTTTCGCGTTCGGTGGCGCGAGCACGCCTGCCGCGACCGCAGACAAGCCTGCTGCCTCGACGGGCTTCTCTTTTGGTGGCTCGAGCACCACGACAGCGCCTGCGACGACCAGCGCGGCGCCTGCGACGACTGGCTTTTCTTTTGGTAGTTCTGCTGCTCCTGCGACGCCGGCTGCCACGGATGCGAAGGCGCCTGCCTCGACTGGCTTTTCTTTTGGCGGCTCGACACCGGCTACAACGGATGCGAAGGCGCCTGCTGCGACTGGCTTCTCGTTCGGCGATGCGGCCAAGCCGGCGACGCCGGCTGCTACGCCCGCGGCTACGGGCTTCTCGTTTGGTGATGCGGCCAAGACGCCGGCCACGACAGAGACGAAAGCGCCGGCGCCGGGCTTTTCGTTTGGCGCGACTGCAGACAAGCCGGCGGCAACCCCCGCGCCAGCCACTGGTTTCTCCTTTGGTGCGTCGGCGGTAAAGGCAGCGGACGACAAGCCTGCGGCCCCGAGCTTTAGCTTTGGCGATGCCAAGACGACGGCGACCACGACGACGGATGCGGCCAAGCCGGCCGATGCAAGCGCGGCGACAACAAGTACGTCCCTCTCACTCCTGTCCAAAACCCTCAAAATCGATTTTACGTAGCGGCCCTGCCCGCCGAGTACAAGGACAAGACGGTCGAGGTACATAATTGTCATGTGAATGACGACCCTCATCGCTGAATGCACAGGACATTATCAACATGTGGAGCGAGCAGCTCGAGAACCACGCGATGGCCTTCACGAACGAAGCTGTGCGCGGTGCGTCTTCTGTCTATCGCTACGCCAAGGCGTAACATCCGACTGTCTAGTGAGCCACTGGGACTCGGAGCTCATGGAAAACCAAAAGAAGCTGGGCGACCTCGCGATTGACGTCCGTCGGCTGCAAATGGCGCAGAAGGAGCTCAACGCGAACCTCGACACGATCAGCGCATACCAGCTCGAGCTCGACTCGACGCTCGAGGTAGACATCGTCGACAATGTGTTCTGTTCCATGGTCTTATCGGTACCTATGATGTAGACGCTCGAGTCGAGCGTGGACAAGCTCTTTGAGAACCACCGGCAGATTCCGGACACGGCCGACATTGAGCGTGAGCAAGGGCTGCAGCTCTCGGTGGACATTGACAACCAGCTCTCAATGATGTCGACGGCGCTCAAGGAGACGATCGACCGGCTCAACCTGTCGCAGGCGCAGGAAGACGAGAGCGCGAACCCGATGGCGCAGATCCTCAAGGTGCTCAACGTGCACCACAACTCGCTCGTCTGGATCGACGGCAACGCGACCAAGCTCGCGACCGACATGGCCACGATCGCCAAGAAGCTCCAGCAGTAATTCCTAACAATCTCTATCAACTAACACGTTTTCCATTCGCTTGTATTGCGACGAACCCATTCTCCAAAATCCAAGAATCCAAAAAGCACCCAAGAGATTGTACATTACGACAGCGACGACGCGCCTTCGACAAACGAGAGCACCGACTCGTGGAACTCGGTCACGCCCTGCGCGGCCAAGTCGAGCTTGGCGATCGTCATGTGCTCATCGAGGGCGCATTGGACCTCGGCGTTGCACTTTAGCGGCGCGCCACACGTGCACGACTTTTTGAGGTTCCCGCACTTTGTACACTTGAAGTTGGCGGGCTGGTACGGACACACGTGGCCCTTCTTGGGCTCGCCGCAGCGCGAGCAGCGGTAGTTGCCGCGGTTGAAGCGTGCGTCGTGGGCCGGCGACGGCGTCGACTGCGGCGGCGTCTCGGGCGGCAGGAACGAGCTCGCTTGCGGTGGCATCATGTTCATCTGGCCAGAGGGCGTCGGCGATGGCATGCCATTGCCGTTTATCATGAAGCCGCCCATGTAGCCGCCCATGTTGCCAGCATAGTAGTTGCCTTGGTTCATCCTCCGCCGGTCCGCGACTTTCGCCCGTCCTTCCAAATGACCATCCGGATACAAGCGGAATCGAAAGTTCGGCAATTCTTCGGCAACCAAGCTCAACGGATCGACGACCGCGAGGCTCCTTGCAGCGGACTGTGATGGCAGTGGCGGCGCCATCGATAGAGCCCAAGAGCCTTTCGCAGCCGAGCATCAGCGCAAGCCATCATGCGGGCGCTTGTGTCATGGCAGTACATTGACCACCGTGAGGTACATGTACGCTAAGAAATGAGAGAGTGGGCCTCCGAGGGCCTTGCGCCTGCAGCGTGTGCGGCCAAGCTCGTTGAACGTAATGCCGAGTGCACATGGCAACATCGCACTGTGGCAGTGCATGGAAGATCGCACCTGTTACATGCATATAATGTAGATATTGAAACCAACTTAGCCTAATCGCGCCTGCTTGGCCAGCTGCGCAAACGCACTCGCTTCGTTGGCGAGGAGTTCGCTTGGGGGGCCGTACTCGGCCACGCGACCGTCGGCCATCACCAGAATCTGGTCGCTGTCCAGAATCGTGTCCAGACGGTGCGCAATCACGAGCAAGGTCACGTCCTGACCAAAGCACTCCTTGATGGTCTCTTGGATGAGCCGGTCCGACGCCAAGTCGATGCTGGCCGTGGCCTCGTCCAGCAAGACGACGCGGCTCTTGCGCAACAAGGCGCGCGCGATGCAGAGCAGCTGTCGCTGGCCCACCGAGAGATTGCCGCCCTTCTCCGCGACCTCAAACTCAAGCGTTGAGATGACGTCGCCCAAGTGCACTTGCTTGAGCACGCTCCAGAGCTCGTCGTCACTCGAGCGATTCGACGGATCCAAGTTGAAGCGCAAGGAGCCAGAGAAGAGCACCGGGTCTTGCGGGATGATCGTGAGCCGCGACCGCATCGTGTGCAAGTCGATGGAGGCGAGGTCGACGCCGTCGATGAGGATGCGACCAGAGGCGGCCTCGACCATGCGGAAGAGCGCGACCATGAGCGAGCTCTTGCCCGAGCCGGTGCGGCCGCAGATGCCGACCTTGGCGCCGGCCGGCACGGTGAACGACACGTCCTTGAGGACGAGGTCGAGGTGGTCGCGGTACCGCATCGCATAGTGGTCAAAGGTGACGACGCCTTTCATAGGCCACGACGCGTCGACGGTTGCCGTGACGAGCTTGGTGTCACCTTCGGTCTCGAGGCTGTTGTACTCTTCGAGGCGCTCGACGGACGTCATGATGTTGTCAATGAACGAGAAGAGCATGGTCGTGCGCGAGAGGAAGGACGACATCTGCGACGCATACGTCAGCGCCAAACCAGCCGCAGCGAGACCCACGGACGCCTTGGTCGCAATCGACAAGAAGGCGACGCCGGCGATGATGGCCGCCGAGAGCCAATCGAGGCGCATTTGCAGCCAGCGGGTGGCAACGCGGTAGATGAGAAAGAAGCGCTGGTTGTAGTCTAAGGCAGCCCGGCTCTTGGCGGCAAAGACGCTGCTCATGCGGAAGGCGCGGATCGTCGAGAGGCCGTTGATCGTCTCGGAGATCAAGTTGACGACCGGCGACCGCGTCGTCGAGTCCATGCGCTTGAGGTCCCCGGACGAGACGTTGTAGTAGACTTGGATCTTGTAAAAGAGGTAAAAGAGCGGGAGGTACAGAATCAGAATGAACGGTGACGTGGCAGCACACACGACCGCGACGGCGAGAATCTGAAACAAAAACTGGAGAAAGAGGATCCCAAAGAACGGCAGCTGCGAGTCGACTTGGTCCAAATCGCTCGAAAACCGGTTGAGAATACGACCAACCGGCGTCAAGTCGAAGAAGGTGTTGACGGGCGCGCTGAGCACCTTGGTGAAGAGCCGCTGGTGCAGTGACTTGGAGCAGAGCAGCACAATGAAGAGCACGTAGACGCTGCGGCCCCAGACAAGGCCAATCGAGACAGCGGCGATACCAGAGTAAATCCACGCCGACGAGAGCTCGCCCTGGAGCGAAGTGTGCGTGGACCAGTAGCCCATGAACCAGTCGAGGATCGCGAGCGACGCTTGGGCCGAACCAAAGGACAAGAAAATGGTCGCAAACACAAAGAGCGAGTTGCAGCCACTCGACCCAATGTACGTGGCGTACGTCGAGCTCGAGACGGCTCCGATCTGCCGCGCCTCCTTGGCCACGAGCGCGCCGTCGGTTGCCGCCGCCTCCGCCTTTGCTGCCACAGACTTGACCGGTGCGACCTCGTCTTCTGTCTTGGCATGCTCGGCAAAGCTCTGGAGGTCCGGAAACTGCGCCTTCACCGCGTCAAACGGCCCGTCCGCCGCGATCGCACCGTCCACCATAACCACGATACGGTCTGCGTGCGGCAGCAGATGGTAGTGACTGTTGAGCACCAACAACGTCGTCTTGCTCGCCAAGAGACCTTGCACGCAGTCCCGAAACACGGCGCCCGCCACGTGCACGTCCAGCGCGCTCAGCGGGTCGTCCAGCAAGTAGATGTCCGCCTCGGTCCGGTACATGGCCCGGGCGAGACTTACGCGCGCCTTCTGGCCGCCACTCAAGTTGATGCCGCGCTCGCCAATCTCGGTGCGGTCGCCGTCCGGCAGCATGCGCAAGTCGGACGTGAGCTGGCAGGCCGAGAGCACTGCGTTGTACTTGGTGTCGTCAAAGGCGTCGGCAAAGAGGATGTTGTTGCGCAGCGTGTCGTGTTGGATCCAGGGCTCTTGGCTGACGTAGGCGACGTTGCCGGTGACGTGGCGGGTGCCGCGCACTTTGTGGATCTCGCCGAGGAGAGCGGAGACGAGGCTGGACTTGCCGCTGCCGACGGCGCCGACGACGATGGTGAGCGAGGCAGGGGCGAGGTGGAGGTGGATGTTGCGCAGCGTCAACGGCAGCGACGGGTCGGCGTCGGTGGACGGGCTTCCGTGCCACGTAAAATCACCGTCCGTGATGGCCACCTCGGGCACCTCGCCGCACGCATCGCCCGTCGGCGGCTCCAACGTCGCGCCTTCGACTTCGTCGCTCAAAAGGAAGGCACCGATGCGATCACACGACGCCTTGGCTTCCTGGATGAAGAGGATCGCGTTCGAAAAGGTCATGGCCGGAAGCCGCGCGACGTTCATGTAGGCGAGGACCGCAAAGGCGATGTCAACAGTGAGCGCGTTGCCTTGGGCGACGTACGTGAGAAGGCAAAGCGCAAGGCAAATGACCGGTGCAATGTTGAGCGCAATTGTGTTGAAGATACGGCGACCGTGGTATTGCTTTAAAAGCACGAGCTCTTGGCCGCGGACTCTGGCAATCTCGGCCTCGAGGTGTGCCTCCCAGCCGTACATCTTGACGACGCGGACGCCTTGGAGGAGTTCGTTTGTGAGCTTGACGCGCTCGGACTGCACCGTGAGGAGCGCGCGGCGTGTGTCGCCGACGGTCTTGGCCGAGAAGTACCCGAGAGCAAGCATGCCGTACATAAAGAGTCCGCCAACGAGGCCGACGAGATAGCCCATTTCCAAGCCGATCATGAGAAAGATGGCGAGGACGGCGACGGGCGAGGCCCACGTCCACGCGCCGAGGAGGTAGCCTTGGAAGACGCGCTCCGAGTCGACGCTGGACAAGGTGACAATTTCACCCGACGACATTTTCCGCTTCGCAAAGCCCGAGAGCTTGAGGCTCTTGCGGTAGACGACGTCCATGATGATCGTCTTGGCGTTGCAGCCGAGGTTGGACGAGAGGTACTGGCCAAAGTCGATGACCGTCACCGAGACGAACGAGAGGATAGTGAGCAGTGCTGCGAGGCCGTACCCGGACTCGAGGCCGAGCGACGTGGGCTTGCCTTGGATGTACTGCAAAAGCGACTTGATCACAATCGGCTGCAGCAGCATCAAGAACGAATAGAGAAAGTAGAGCGCAATCGTCCAGATGGTGTCGCGCGCCATGGACCGCCAGAGCGCCTTGTGGAACGCCGGCTTGGGCTTTGTGAGCTCTTTTGCCCACTCGGATTGAAGAAGCACATGGAGACCTTCCGCCGAGTCGGCGTACCGAACGGGCCAAATGTCGGCTTCTTTGAGCGGCGAACGCGCGCCTTTCCGAATGAGCGCATCCATCCACGAGATGAGGACGATCGAGACCCAGCTCGCTGTCTCCATTGGGTGCTTCTCAACCTCTTGGACGTCCACCACGTCGGTCTGCTTTGGCGTCGTTGCTTCGACATACGCGTCGTCGAGACCCATGACGTGATGTCGATGCAGCAAATCTGTGACTGGCACTTGGGCTTCGTGAACCATCTGGGTCCAAATTGCACTTGCATCCTCGGAACAGCCGATCCATCACCCAATGGCGGCCAGTCGCGGCGCCAAGCGATCCGACGTGGCATCGGCTCGTGCCAAGACTCTAGCACAAGGCGTGTTGTGTGTCGTACGATCTACTAAGGACTCCACGTGCGCCTACGATGGACTGCAGGTCCCGATATTCTACCAGGACCAGTCGACGACGCCAGCTTGTCGAACATGTGGCTTGGCTCCGACGCCTGAAACGGCTTCTCGACGACTTCACGCTCTTCTGCAAAAGGAAACGGACGATCGACAGCTCCGACTGCTGAGCGGTGGGTGCTTTCAACCGCTCATAACTTCGTCTCTTTGGACAGAGCCGCCAGAACCCTCGTTACGGGGCGTTCTGGTATGCGCAGTGGGTCCTGGGGTATTTGAGCCTCGACCAAGCTTGTAAGGATACTAGTACACTTGAAGCCACTCTGCCTGCTCGTTGAACGTTGAACATAGCAGAACTCTGCCGCCTTCCACCGTAGCTTTCCACCGTATGTTCTCCACTGTGAGTCCTCCAGGCTAGAGACGAAACGACCCCTTATAACCCAGACAGCCCACATCCATTGTAGTGGCCCTTGGCGTCCTGAGAGAAGTAAGACGTTTTGGTGATTCTCCTCTCCTGTGGTGAGAGGGGCTAGTGGTCGGTTACAACTGCCATTTGAAACTGGTTCTCGCAGTTACTGCATACTAGTACCCCAAACACGCTAAAATGCATTTCAGCGAGCTTCATAACTACAACGTTGTCCTTAACTACCGCAATATGGAGTCGGACGATTTCGAGATGCAGGAATTTGTGGGAATTGCCCCGCATGCTTGTTTATCGCAGGAGTACATACCTCAAGCAAGCAACTGCCGTTGGCGCCACGCGCATGACATGGCAAGAGCTCTCCACCTTCATCGTAAGAGACAAATGAGCATTTAGTCTGGGAATCTAGTTAGTACTACACTGTAGTACTCGGAAAGGAGAGAAGCACTTGATGAAGAAGAAGGGCCAAGCAATTGGATCGATTTGTATCCTAGTAAATGGTCTTTTCGACTAGAACAAAAATCACCACAAGCACAACAAGCACATAATAGTCGAGTCGTTGATGTTAGTATATGCATCTACTGCTAGTATAGCTGCTCTTGATGCGCTGGATGAGACGCCTCGCTTCTTGTTGCTGGCTGCTACAATCACTGTCCGGATTGTCCGGAAACGTGGGCGATTGTGGGCGTATCCGGATGTGTGACGTGGAGCTCAATTGAGAATTGTTTTTGAGCCATCGATGGCGAAGCAGACCAAGGCTGAGTCCCGCCGGGCGCGCGTGGCCGTCGTCTGCAACGGCGACAGCGTCATCTCGCTCCGCCGGCAGAACCTTGCGCGCTACCTCAGCGCCTGCATGACCATGGGCGGGTGGTGCGAGAAGGTCTCGCTCGTCTCCATCAAGGGCACTGTGCCCAGCACCCCGTACGAGGTGCTGCGGCGCGACGGCGCCGTCTTGGCCTCCAAGGACGTAGCCTTCACGTCGGACGCATCGATCCTCGCCAACTGCGACGCTATCTTCCTCTGCGTCGACCTCATCGAACTCGACGCTGTCGCCAAGATTGTGGCCGCGACCATCAAGGGCTCCAAGACGAAGCAGGTGATCGTGCATCTCGAGGCCTCGCTCAAGCGCAAGGACGGGCTCGAGAAAGCGTTCTTTGCCGACAAGACGTTCCTCCAGGGCGGCGCCTGCTTTGACGTCGTCGTCGATGACAAGGGCGTGCTCATGCCTCTCTCCAACGGCGCCCTCTTCATGGAGCGGCTTCCGTACGACTCCATATCGCATTCCATTCACTCATGCATCCTAATGCTATGTAGGAAGGAGAAGGAAAACGCGCTCTTCTGCCTCAGCATCATCGAGAGCTGCGCGCTCCAAGTCATTAGCCGGCGCAACCTCCGAGGTACGCCCCTCGGCCCTCGGGGTTCCTCATTTTTGTTTGTTTTCGCAGCGATTCACTGGTCCAACGCCATCATCAACTCGGTGTACATGGTCTGTGCGCTCACGGGCCTCTCGGTGCTCGACGCGCTCCGCGACCGCAAGTGCCGGCTCATCTACGCCGATCTCATGCACGAGATGACCAAGGTCCTCGACAGCGTCGCCAAGGATAAGAACTGGCAGCTCGACCACAGCGGCAACTGCGTGCTCCCAATCCCGCTGCTGCTGTCGCTCCTTCCACTGCCGAACGCGATCTTCAACCACCTTGTGTTGCGGCTCGTGGACTTTGGCGTCTCGGTGATTGACGACGGCCATCCACTTCTGACGGTACGTTCGATGAGGTCGAATATGTGGTGTAATGCGTCGCTGTAGACGGATGTGGCGGGCGGTCTCTTGACGGAGGTCCCGTACGAGTACGAAGACGTGTTTGAACTCGCGACCAAGACCAAGGTTGACGTTCCGACGTTGACGCAGATGAAGAAACTGCTCTTGGCGGCGGCCGAGACCAAAAAGACGGGCCGAATCAGTGCGGCAGCGCTACATGCGGCGATTCAGCCGAGCGCCGAGAGCCGAAAGCACTCGCGCACGTTTGTGCTCAAGGTCTTCGTCACGATCCTCATGACCGTTTGGCTGATCCACTCGCTCTTGTAAGACCAACACAAGAATCTGATAGTACGAGCGTTCACCTCGTGTAGTTAACAGTGGAGGTAGACGTCATAATGGCGATGACAAGGACATGATTGAGCACAAAGACTACATTTTTGTTTGTTTTTTGGGCGAAGCACGATGGTGTTGCGAAACTCGAGACAGACCGAATGGGACTCGCTGCTACCCGTAGGAGATCACTCTTGAGTTCAATCGATGAAGAGCGAACGATTATTGCTATACTCCTTTTTTAAATGGACGTATCAAGTCCAAACCTGTCGTCACCGAGAACCAAGAAAGCGGCAATCTGAGCGGCATTTCATCACTGAGACCCTATCCCTGCAACCAGACATCCATATACATACTACGATGGTACCCTCCAAATCAGTGCGCTAATTGGCGTCGGTCGATACAGTACGACTACGCGGCTGAGAGTGCAGTGCTAGAAGCCAACGGTGATTTTGCGCAAAACGCACTTTTGTACTTTGGAGCATGGCAAGACGATGGCACCAAGTCGAAAGATGCGATCGAAGATAGCTATGTGATCTATGTTGCACTACCAAATAC